TCCTTGCAGCTCCAGAAACAGCTGTCTGAGCTGGATGAGGATGACTTATGCTATGAATTTCGTCGAGAACGTTTCACTGTCCATCGCACTCATTTGTATTTTCTACATTACGAATATGAGCCGGCTTCAGACAACACCGATGTAACGCTGGTGGCTCAGCTCTCGATGGACAGGTAGGGAAAATCTCTTGTTCATTGGAAGCATCAGACAATTAATATTTCCTTACAGAGAAATTCAACTATATAATGTTTTGGGGAGAGAAAAAACTCACTTTCATGAGTTTTCGATGTCATACTGTAAGACCTTTCCTGAGTTAGGAGTAGCACTTGTAGAGAACCCGCATGGGTCCAAGCTTCAGCTCTGCAGTGCACACACGAGTGTGAGTAGAGTTCATGAGAGGCTGAATACTGGAACTGCAGGGGTTGTTACTTGTCAGAATTGTCAGGTATTATTAGTTTATGGAGTTTTGCAGCAACTTAGAAAAAACAGGAGATGTTTGTGATAAACTTGGGCAAGCAGTTGAAGCTGACTGAGTTTTTATACACAGTATTTCCTCAATAGACAATGTTAGTTTTGCTTTCGTTAGCATTTTCTTTGCAGAAAATTTCAATTAGTGATTCTTCTTTTAGTGAAAATCAAAACTAAACATTTGAGTTTCAAATTAGGAAGTTGAAAATAAAACTTTTTTTTTTTAATGTGCTAGTGTGAAATGAAAAATGGCCTTTTGACAGGAGTCGTTGCATTTTAATAAAAATGTTGATTTTCAGAATAACATTTTTACTGTAACTCTTTTCAACTTTCAGTTCTGATGTTAAATAGAATTTAACTGTTATAGTATTTGGGAAAACAAAGCCACTGCATGACAAATTCCACCTGCACCCTTCTGATTCCCACAGTTACAATTAGTTGTCATTTTTCTGAAAGGGTAGTCCGGATCAACCGGCTTTGTGAAATTTTGAATTGTCAGTCTCCTTTTTCCTCCTACTTCTCAGTGCAAACCCAATCCAAACTTTGTAGTTACTGCAATCAGAGTGGGTTACAAAACAGGTCGGCATTGAAACTGATATTGCATTTCGCGAGCACGCAGAATACAACATGACCCATGGGTACCACCACTGCTACCTCAGTGGAAGTTCAGCAGTATTCCAGAAGGAATTCAGATTAATTAAGATCAACAAGATATTTACAGCCTGTTTCAAAAATAAACATGGACAAATAAGGGCTATTCTGTTTCACCAGTGCCTCAGCACTGCATCCTGCACGTTGTGTTATGATTTGCTATGCGCGTCAGTGTCTGTTCTATTGATTTTTAATTGAGGAAACATTTCTTAAGTGTTCACAAACCTTTGAGTAAAAAACTAAAGAAATAAACTAAGCCAGACCCTAAGCGAGTGCCACAGTAAATTAGTAAAGCTGGTGTGTGCACGTGGTATATTTTCCCCCCAGAATTTAATTCAAAAGAATGAGCTGGGGCTGAGTGCTGATTCACTGGCACTGATGCAAAGTCTGAGCATCTGTTTCCCTTTCTGGATCCTCACTGGGGCACATGTTTTTATTGATAGACAGAACCACACATTTCTATTCAGGAAGAACAGCCCTCCTGATACTGTGCAGGAAAAATCTTCCCTACTTCGTTGGTGTGTTTCTATAAATTATTGATTTGAGTTGGAAATACTTTCTTTCAGCTAAAATCAATAAATAATATCATACCAAAGAACTGTTTAGCTGCTTTGTTTTCTTTCAAATCTTTCAGTTACTGCCTGATTTTTTTTTTTTTATCTTCTTTAAACCACTTCTATTAAGCTCCTCCGGCATAGCTGTAGACATTTAAGAATAGCGTCTCAGATGTAAGATGACATGTACATAAACAATGCTATATGCTACATTCCCGCACCGTTCTTTCAAATGATCATCCAAGATGTGGAGAGGCAAAAAAGCAACTCCCAGTGTATCCAATTATAGTCCTGCTGGAGTTGAGACTGACGTGACTGTTGTGACAGGCTTACGTTTACCTGTGCTATGGACTGGGGGAATGGAAGAGAGGGATGCAATTTAGGAGATAACATTAATGTCTTTAAGATTAATGTCTCTGAGACAGCTTCAACCAGTGTTGTTCGTTGCTGGTTAATTGTCACCTTTTATACTGATCTGACATTTTCTTGGATAATGGCTGGGTTGCATCACTCTGGTTTTCATGCATGTGTTTTGGTTAGCCAGCCTTTTTAAAGGCGTGGTATGCACCCGGGGTTCAGAAATCAGAGTGGGAGGTGAAAAAGTGTGATATCAGGATGTAGACAAGGAAAGCCCGGCTAAGTGTTACACCAATTGAAGTCTGGGTGAGAATGAGTTTCACATTGGTTGAGTATTCTTAAGAAGAAAAGTGAAAACAAATACTTTCACAAAACTGTTGAATTCCAGCAGAATTCTCTTGACTGAAACAGACTTTTAAAAAAAATAAACCAACTGAATGATGACCTTATTATTATGCAGTACAGGAGTATATTTATTTTCTCTAGTGTCCTTAAGAGAACGCATTCCTCAAGACTGCTAGCAGAACCAAAAATAACCTGGTCATGTTGTACTTAGAAACTCATAATTCTAAATTTGGTGGTCAAAGGAGACTATTGTAACAACCTACAGAGAGTAGATTATGGAGCATCACCCAGCAGTCCCTGTAAGAGAACAGATGTAATGAGAACAATGCAGCAAAATGGAGTATTCTAAAGGGCAGTAAGCTATCCAGCTGGAAATTTATACCAGCAAAACCTAGTTTCCTCTTAACTATTGTGAAATCTTTGCAGGCATTATCAGGTGTGCTGTTTAAATAAGTTATGTATGCCATTTGTCCACTGCTTGGAGTCCTTGAAAGGCATTTTCCTGCATTTCTGGATAGGCAAGTATTCCATTTTTAAAAGACTGCCCTAAATCTGACTGTTGATGAATTGAAGTCTCCTGATTAATAGGTTTCCACTGTGTTGGGGGGGGAAGATATTTTTCCTCTATTTATTATTTGTACAATCAAAAGCCTAAAGCCTTCACATACTTTTTAGATCTTTTTATCAATTTTTGTTTCTAATTCGGCTGTATGTTTCAGGCTGATAATAACCTTTGTTTCAATAATAGATAAAAGAAAACAATGTACCAGGTGTAGACTAGTAAAGGTAATATTTCATACCTAAGAAAAAATGATTATATCGTCTTGGATGTCATCACGATCATTCAGAAATGGAGGAAAAAGCTATTAATGTTAAATCAGAATGTGTGTTTGCTGGTATGAGTGTATCATTCCTTTCTGCTGCAAAGCTTAGAGAGATAAGAGATAGTAAGAGGGGGAAGTTATTTTCTCTGATTACAATGATGCAGAAAACTTTTATTGTGTTCTGTATAAATATTAATAGCAAAAATCTCGTAATGTAGATTTGGAAGGGAACGAAGATAATCATGTTGTATAGTCTACTCTTCCTAATTTTTAATAGAATATCTGGTTAGGCTGCATAGGTTCATTTCCCTTTGTATTAACTCAAGAGGCTTTGTAATCAGTCCTTGCTGTATTTTTGGGTGGCATATCTTAATCTCTAGGCAGTTCTCTATAAATTACCCAAAGTGCTTAAACGATTTTGACCAGGCTGGGTTTGATTTACGTTTGTGCATGAGATCTTTCGTTGTCATTTTCATCGATAGTATTGTAACTGCTGGTAGATTTTAAAAATATACATCAATACAACCTGTTTTAAAAATAATTTAATGAAATCTGAGATACTGCTAAAACATATACAAATTAGTACCTTAAATGATGGCTTTGTCTGAAATGTTCTTTTGATATTCCACAGCAATGTCATGCCTTTCCCTCATTCTCTCCTTACTCCCTATGCAAAGTAGATCCCATTTCTATCAATGTGTCATCCTTCTGCCCTTTCCCTCACAGCGAGTTTTCTTCTAGTCAATGTAAATGTTCATAGAAGTCAGTAGTCCCTTGACCTGTCGCTTTTAACAGCTTTTAAGATCTGACTTACTGCCTTGCAAAACTTTGAGGAAGGTTTTCCTCAACAGGAGGTAAAATGATCTGTGGGTCTGTACACCTTTCTTTCTCCTCCACAAGCTTGTTGAAGAGCAGTGTAGTATCTTAGTATGTGAGAATAGCTTGGCCTGAAGTGTGAATTGGGCACTAGGCACTGTTTCAGATTGCAAGACCCCTATCCTGGAAGTAGATCCAGATGGACAGATCCCTGCAACTGCTCAAAACTCCTGTCAGATGAAGTCCCATCGTCCATGTGGGTCTTCTTGCAGCATCAATGCTTTAGGCAGAAAGAACGGTGTTTTTTTCACCTAGCTTTAGGTATATGAGTTGTGGATGTGTGTATCTAAGCTAGGGCTGTCCTAGGCTCCCTTGTGTTCAGTAGGCATATCTAGGGTACAGTCCATCTGCCCAGGAGACATCAACTTAGATGAGAAGAATTGTGTTATAGAAATATTTATTGCTTTCCACAGTATATAAAGTGACCCCAATCTGTCTCACTTAGAGACAGATATCTTCATTTGATCAGATGAACCCAGGCGAAGAGTCCTAGACAGGGAGACAGCCTGTTCTTATTCTCACCCTTCCTTTTTCAGGCTCCAGATGCTCGAAGCCATCTGCAAACACTGGGAGGGTCCCATCAGCCTGGCACTCTATCTTTCTGATGCAGAAGCCCAGCAATTTCTCCGCTATGCCCAGGGCTCAGAAGTGCTTATGAGCCGCCACAATGTTGGCTACCACATCGTGTACAAGGAGGGCCAGTTCTACCCTGTGAATCTGCTAAGGAATGTGGCCATGAAGCATATCAGCACACCATACATGTTTCTGTCTGACATCGACTTCTTGCCCATGTATGGACTCTACGAGTACCTCAGGTAAACAGACAGTGGAAGGAATCCCACTGTCACCCGTATTTTCACCCCTCCACACCCCACCCTTCTCACATATTCCCAAAACAATGCAGTTTGAGCAGATCTGAGAGAGACATCTTATAGTTGTTTAATGTGTGACAATGCCCAGCAAGACACAAGAATTTTTAGGGTAGAGAAAGGGGCTGTAACCGGAAATAAAGCAATATAATTATGAAAGAAAAAACTCTGATCTGAATGTAAGCCCTGTTAGCCATCAGAATAATTCCCTCGGAGCAGCAGAAGAATCAATTTGAAAATTGAACTGGACTGAGTATGTGCAAGAACATCCTGTATTAGCAGAGATGCAAAACGGACAATTTCCATAAACATCCCTGGTTCTTAACGTCAGTGACTGAAAAAACATACAGAGCATCACTGAACTTTGTTGTCCCTGTGACACACTCTTAATCCAGTTCTGTACCTTGAAAAGAAGGTGATAGTCTAACCTGCTCAAAAATATGACTGCAACACCAGCACCTGTCAAGGCAAAATAATTAGCATAAAGAAAACGGGAAGAGTAACCCAGTAACAGTGTGTATTGTACCATAATGAATGTGAGCAGGTTGGCCTGAGCAAACTACAGACCTCTGATCCATTAACTGATTTTTTTTTTATGGAAGACCTTTTTTCCTGCAGAGGCTGGTCATCCGAGGCCAAAGCATAGAGCAAGGAGGACACCCTGTGGCCAAGAAGGAGGTTGTCAGCTCCTTAGTCCTGGCCCCTTTTGCTTTTCATCTCTGTTCTAAGTTGGTAGAAGTTGATCAGAGTCTTCCAGGGAGGGTCTGCCTGTAGCTGACCGTCCATAGGCCAAGGGGTTTGGTCTGTAAAGGGAAATATACCTTCCAGTATCATGAACTTATGAAGGAATTCCTTCGTTCCAGGTTTAACAACTCAGTAAGTATTTTCTCACTCCTCCCTCACGCAGAGATTTAATTCCCTTTTCCAATTTCTGCATCCATGTATGGGGCCAAATTGACTATGGATTTTAAGATGCTGGATTTCAGTAATATCACTGAAGTTTTATCACACTGTGTCAGCTTGATTCCTATTTATTTTAGGGATATTTCTTTTGGACCTGTGCTATGATGACTCTAAAATCATTCTGTCACTTGCACACATTAGCTGTCTCAAGATACGTGTAGGCACAGTTGTTAGCTTTTCTGTTCTTTGACATTACTGTTGCATACTGTTACATTCCTTCAGATCGATGCTGGACACAGTAAGGGTAGCAGCTGTTGATACCAGCATCTAGTACTAAAAAAGCAACTTGTTCCTCCACACTGCTTTGCAGTGCACTGATGGGAGCCAGCACTGAAAAAGAGAAGACAATAAGGAAGACAGAATAATGTACCACAATATACTTAAGATATTACAACCGTAGAAATAATTCTCCTATGTTGATAACGTATTATAGGACTAAATGCACAGTGACGCCACCCACTGGTGCTGGTTCAGAAAAAAAAGGATTTGCAGTGAAAACTGTGGCATCCAAGACCTTGTGTTTTTTCTACCAGCCTTTTGTGAGGCCCATACCACCTTAACTCGGACTGTGAGTCTCTGTAGCCAGGGAATATCGAAATTGTTAATCTGCTACTACCAGCTCTTTAAAAAGGGATTGGATTTTTTCGTATGTGGACTAAAGGCTTTTGTTGCTTTTTCAATAATGATTTTTCTGAGAAAAATAGCAGGGAATTGCAGTGAGATTATTTTAAACACAGATGCCCTGTATCTTTCTGCATTGACTTCTCCCACTGCCTCTGCAAGTAGCTGATTAGTGCTACATATCTGAATGGCAGCGATTTTTTCTTAGAGAGATGTACAAACGTTTTTGTTTTCATTTCCTCTGATAGAACAACAATAAACAAATAGTGTGGTGTTTCAGGCATCTTTGTACAGGATGAGCCAGACAAGTCCCTCTCACTGCAAGTTTGCTGATTTACATATGTTGTATATCGTGTCTCTACAGACTGTATTCTCAGAAAGAAAGGAATTTTGAAAAACGTTTTCAACATATTTTGGAAATATAGTATGTGAAAGGTTACAGCCACTTTTGAAGGAGAAACTGATGGAGCTGATGGTTACCTGTCCCTCTGGGTATCTGTTGCTAGCACTTATATTTGTGCTAATTGAGCTTTTTCAGAGCTGCCAATCACAACCATTCCAATGCTTTTAATCTCCATCAAACCCCACTTTTGTCATACCTTACTCTTCTGTGAAGTACAAAAGGAAAGAAATGTATCATTTAAGGATTTCCTGTTTACAAAACTCAGACACTTTCATGGTCTGTGCTGAGTCAAAGTCTTTTGTCACCTTCTCTCATTAGCTGCTGAGGTCATCTTGTCATTGTCCCAGAGGTAAAGGCTCCTTCTGGTTGCTACAAGTAAGGTGTGTGGGTCATCCTAGAAGTTCTTCTAACATAAAATAATTAGACAGGCTACCTACAGTTGTCACAGCTAACATTATTCTTTTCTGACACATTTGTGTAAAATATGCCCTTCGCATCCAGTGACACGTTTAGCATGAATTGGGAGCTGGCATCCAAGCTCTGTCTGAAGGTTTTATTCCTGTCCCCTGCAACATGAGTTGTGAAGTATTTCTGGTTGTTCTTCAGCATCTCAGCAAGAGACATGCTTCACATCATGCCTACTGTTTTTCATTTGTTGGGTGCCTTTGTAGGCTGTGCATTCATTGCTTTTGCAGAGAGGAAAAACATTCCAATAAATTTAACAGTGGACTGACAACTCTCCAGTTCTTAACACAAAGTCTGTGACTGCTGTATTCACTGATCTCAAACCAGCCACTTACTGAGTCCTGATAGTGGAAGCTAATTTGAATTAATGGACTCTTTTTTTTTTTTTTGGAGGGTTTCTTGGGGTTTTTTTTCCCCCTGAATTTAGTGCTTTAGGATTAGATTTCTAACCTTTCTGTGTCTGAGCTTCTCTGTCTCCAGAAATGGGAATGATACTGCTATCTGCCCCCATGAGGATGAGGATTCTGTGTTAATTTTTGGAAAGGGCTGTGGAGATGAAAAGATTGGTATTGACATGCTGGAGTTCATTCTACCTGTGAGGAGGCTCTTGTGATTTAAGATTCATTTCTTCCCCGCCTTGCGAAAAATAGGGTTGATTAGTAGATTTAGAAATTTAACCCAACCTTCACTGTGTCAGAATGACATACATCAGGTCTGAACACAAAGATGCCTGGGTAACGGTTTCCTGGACAACACTAGAGAAGAGAAAGTTCTTCATAAAATCATTTATCCGTATTTTGGGAGTTGGGGAAGAAGGACAGATAAAGGAAAATGGATACAGAATCAAGATCACTGAATCCACAAAACAGTCCTCATAAGGATAGTGCAGGAATTAAACAGTTTACACAGTGCTAGTTTGCAAGATAATGAAACATATTCCCTACGTTATATTCTGCATCTTGCAACACCAACAGTAAAGATTTATCTATTCCAAGTATCACAGGACCAGTCAAACAGCAAATGGTACCTCTACTAAAAGTAGGAAAAATGTCAACCCACAGAAAAGGGAACGTAGATTTGCTTCTTAGAGGAATTCAGCTGATTGTCTGAGGAGCAGACTGCCAGCCAAGTTATCAGAAAAAAATGGAAAGTGTTTTTTTTTTCTCTACCAGATCTTCCCTGCCTTTAACACAATTTACGTAGCCTCTGTTGTCCCTTGTCACTCAGGTTCAACACCTGGATGTCAGCACTCCTTCCTTCTTCACCTTAAATTACTCTTTATGTCATTGTAGTCCACATTGGGCAGGCCATTCTTCTTGGAGGTCCATGCTGATGGACTTCTTGACCCAGTATGTCTCAACTCCCAGTTCAGTTTGGGTGAACCCTTCCACTTTGCCCTGACCAACATGCACCTCAGATGCTGACATAGCTCTTGAAAATATGTCTGCAGGGATTCTCCTGCTATTTTATTTCACTCTTGAAGTACCTCCACCAGTTCTCTGTCTGTATCCACTACACGCATTTTGTTTTCAGACCTCTGCTACTCTCCACTTACTAATTTTTCATGTTGGACTTAGACTGTGCAAGTGATTTCAGCCTCTTGTATTAGTTTGTTCCCTCTGCCTTTTGGTCTTCTTTATGAGGGTACTGGCATCAATTCTTTCCAACAGTTCTGCCATTGATACCTGTATTAAATTTGCAGATGACAAGAGTAGGGAGTGTGCAAAAAGGATTATTGAGATCCACATAATTTTTGTGCTTCTATCCCATGTCTTACAAAATGAGTCATGTTCAACACTAGTTTCAACACAACTTGCTCTGTCTGACAGCATCTGCTGTTACTCTTGCTTGATACCTGTACCTACTTCAGCTTTGTTCAGCTTCAGACTGTGGATTTTGATGGGCAGGATTGTATCCTACTCTTTGACGGTGCCAGGCACACCAGGGCCTTGATTTTTGACTGGGACTTTTGAGCTCTTCATCAAACAAAGAGATAGCAACAGCCATAAATAGAAGCTGCAGAGCCCAAAGAGTGAGCATCACTGCAAACATTACCTGCTCCTTCCTAGAACTGAATCCTCAAAACTCTACCACTCAAGGCTGACAGATTGCACAGCATCCAGAAAGCCTGAGATGTTGTCAGAGAACCTTTGCTAGTGTGTTCTGCTTGCAGGGAAGGTATGAAGGGGAAGAAACATTAAGAGCATCCTGAAGAATGGGTGCTGGCACAGCTCGGGGATTCAGGAAGGTCGTGGAGGCTGACTATGAAGGAGTCATCTATTTACATGAAGATATCTTGGCTATTAGTGATGGTGAGAGAGAAGCTAGTGAAGAAAGTACAGAAAAGTTATAATAAGATGCTGTTAAAATCCTGCAGTTGTGAAAAGTTCACTGGAATGTGGAAGAGTTTCTTTATACACCGCAATTTTTTCAGTAAGGCACTGAGAACAGATTTCTTTTTATAGAACAGGCCTATAGGGTGGTGTGAATTCTCTAAAATTCAGATTTTATTAAATAGACCTTCTCTTCTTTTTCTCTGATGGCAATAAAAATAAATTCTAGGTATTCTGGGCCTAGGAAAGTGGTTTATTCGGTCCTTCTGTTATTATGAGAGTGATCCCAATTCCTTTATCTTATAAGGCTGTAGAGAGTTTGCTGCTTGTCAACATTGTCCTTGATTGCTTTTTGCAGGAACATAAAAGTCAGGACAGTGAATCCTGTTAAGGAGAACTGACTTTGACAGAGGGAGAGAGGCATATTTCTCATATGAAATATGAAGATAATGAAAGGAAAATCGAGACAGAGTTATTTCTAATGACAAGCATAGTAAGATTTAGCTTTGGGGTGCAAAAGTAACTTCTTTTCCTTTGTCTTTGGATTTTAGTTTGTTAGGAAAGAATAGACTGAATACCTCTGGCAGGCAGTTCATAAGTTTGGCAAACTGTTGCTCTCCTGCAGCAGTCATCCTAAGGCCCTTGTCTGGGGAAGGGCCCTAATGTGCAAAATGTAGTATGTGCACACATGCATACACATACCAAAACAGTCTCTGCCCTGAAAACCTTTCAGCAAAAGAAGGCAAAAAGGAAGGTATCTCAGCGTGTCCAGCACACAGCTCTTCTCTGCAGGAAACAGCCTCTATGCCCTATGTTTAAAGTCAAGCACAAATGGGCTTTTTATCTCTGTGTGCTACCATGCACATAATTAACAATAGTAGAAAAATACTGCTAATTTACAGTTTTGCTGATTTGCACTATGTCCGGTTGCAGTAGATCTGTGCCTTGCCTTGAGGAAAGACCAACCATCATGTGAACAGCATTCTTCTTGAGGGCAAATATGTGTTCCATAATGGTATTAAGGTAACACTCACATTGCAAGATACACAGAGCTCCAAAGCAGAGATAAAAAGCAAGTATGGTGGCACAGCATAGCACAGAGAATAGCTAGGCTGAAATGCAACCAATCTTTCCGGCTCCTCACCTTCTAAAGTGCCACTGAGTCCTGGATAAATCCTGTTCTTTTAGAATTGCCGTTGACTGGTTAGCTCTTCAAATCACATGTGGTAACATTCAACTATGTTTCTCTTACAGAGTTGTCAATTGGCCATGCTCAGCGTGCTAATTCAGCTCTGTGCACCACTGGCCATGCAGGGCAATGTGACAGATCAGTCAAACACACACGCTCTTTTTGAGCTGTGATTGTTCTCCCTGCTCTTAGAGTAGGATATTCAAAAGAAGAGGAAAATAAGAAACCCCCCTGGGAAAAAATACAGGCCATAGTTACATTTTTTTTTGCTCTTTAAACTGAAAAGCCAAGTGATTTGCTCTGTTTAAAATTTTACTGCTTGTGTTTGTTGTTTGTCTTTGCCAGGAAGTCCGTCATCCAGCTAGACCTGGCTAACACCAAGAAAGCTCTGATTGTACCTGCTTTTGAGACCCTACGCTACCGCCTCTCCTTCCCCAAGTCAAAAGCAGAGCTGCTATCTATGTTGGACATGGGAACCCTTTTCACGTTCAGGTAATGGAATGTATTTTTGTTGAATCTGTGGTCATTATCTCTAAAAATGTTTTTGATGTTCTATGAATATTTGATTTTTCTCCCTCACTGTCAGTTAGCTAGCTCCATTAAGAAACCTACTGGATTTTTCTTCCTTTTTCACAGAGAGGCAGTGGACAGAATTGTATGTGGATATATTCCATCTGTAAGCTCAGCATTTTATCTAGTATTATAGTCCTCTACTGAAGGACTTCAGTTGTTAAATTGAATTTGTTTTATTTTCATTGTTTTTTATTGCACTACAAAATCAAGCGCGACCATTACACTTATGTCCGTGTAATTTGCTTTTTGGCTGCCAAATACTATCTGGATAGCTGTGTCCCTCATGTGACCAAAAAATAATTTCCCTCTGCTTGTTGGTTTGCTTTGTTACTGACTTACTGGAAAAACAAATGCAGGCTTGTCGCGTGCTCTTTTTAAAGTGTGAAACAGCTGCTTAAATAGCTGGAGTTTCTTAATGCAGAGTTGAAAGTGTACTCTGACTACAAGTTGAGAAGCAAAGAACACCTAAATTTGGAGCTCCTCTCTGAAGCAGATTCCTTTTGTGGCTGTGAACAAGTCACTTCTATTATCTGCCAGACTCTCCGGTTTTAAAATAAAACTACCAGGGTTAACTGTCTGTTGGGTGTGTGGTAAGGTCTGATTAGTAGACATTTGTAAAGCATTGCAGCGGTGGGGAGAGTACAATATGGCCTTGTGATATTGCACAGAGAGGGGCTTTAGGAGCCCTGCATTCTCTTCTCGGCTCCACTACTGCCCTGCTGGGAGGCGGTACACGAATCAGTTCACTTTCTTACATCTCAGTTCTACATCTCTGAAATGCAGGTAACAATGTTCACCTCTCCTTTTTACAGTATTTTGAGATCTAGAGATAAAAACCATGAAAAAGCCAGGTATTATCCATGGCCAGTAGAGCTCTCTATCAACTCTCCCATCCTTCGCTTACTTTAGAGCTTTCCTCACACTTCTTCCACTCCCTGTATTACACATCTCTCTGCAGCAGCCGCCCTTCCCTCATGCAGCCATGTGCACATGTCATAGCAAACAGCCTGTGAGCCTGGAAAAGGTAATTCTGACACTACTTCTACCCGTGAGTGCCTTGAAAAAGAAACTCGAGGCAACTGAGGGAAGCATGCCTCTCTCTGGAAAATTACTTAAGGATACTGATAGGGCAAGTGCCTTTCACTCTCCCACCATTCTTTAACAGTCAACGACATACAAATTAATGAGAGATCGATTGTTTCTCCCATAGTTGAAAGAAAAAAATCTTTCCAGTGAAAAATAACACCCTCACGATTTTCCGATGTTACATTCAAACAACAGTGAAAGTTTCAGCCTGCAGAGCAGTGGCCTTCCACTACAGATTTCATCTTCAAGCTGTAGAGCCTATTGGCATGTTACATACACAGCCGGATTTGCAGGTCCTCTCTTGCAGGAATTTTGCCAGAGCAAGGTTAAGTAAGAACTGAAGGACATGCGCTCTGTAGCTGATATACATATTAATGTAGGACACATTTTACAAATGCTTCCCCAGTTTGCTTTGGCTCATTTCATTGCTGAAATCTATCAACAGCCACAAAGCAGCTGAGATCTGGGCTGAGAATTTCCACCTCCACCTTCAAGGTGCTTTAATAGGAATTTTGCCAGAGCAAGGTTAAGTAAGAACTGAAGGACATGCGCTCTGTAGCTGATATACATATTAATGTAGGACACATTTTACAAATGCTTCCCCAGTTTGCTTTGGCTCATTTCATTGCTGAAATCTATCAACAGCCACAAAGCAGCTGAGATCTGGGCTGAGAATTTCCACCTCCACCTTCAAGGTGCTTTAATAACGCTGCAATTCGAGGCTGAGTGGGTGGGAGTGAGCTGGGGAGGACTGCTGTGACAGTGATTGCTGAGAGTGCCTGCAGCATCCCAGTCCCTCACACCACATGGTAGATTACAATCTTTCCCTCACTGAAATTGCTTTTGTCACCTCTTTTCCAAATGGTGACCTTTTCTACCTCTGGGCGGCTAAGAAGTACGAAATGGTTCTCAATTACATCCCCCAGTCACCGCTAGAAGAAAAGGGGAGATGTGTGAGCATCCGTGGCTGGCAAGGTGTGCTGTATGGAAACCCCCCGTGGCAGTGGGATGCTCTGTGCCAGCTTGCTGGCTTGGCTTGCTGCCGCTGGCTGAGTCTGTGCCCAATGGGGACATGCCCACTCGGTGCCTGGGTAATAGCTGACAAACTACAAATGTGCTGCCGACACAGCTTTTAGGCACAAGGAAAACCACAGCTGGTAGAAGACACATCATATTGAGAAAACATAACCAGCAACAACTGATTAACTAATTAACTGATTGCATCCACAATCCAAGAAAACATTTAAGCATCTGAGAACAGAAAGGGGAAGGTTTTTCTTTTACTAAATCTTATTTCTCACTGAAATGGGAAGCTTTGAGGGACAAAGCAGGGAGGAAAAACACTCTGAGAGGAATAACTGTTTCATTTTGCTAACTTTAACAAGTTTACCATAGTTTTGAAGTTTTACTTTAAATAAAAGTAATGAAAGTGAGATTGAAACATTTGACCCAAAGCAGGCGGGGGTTGTGCAGTTGTTTTCCATGAACCGTGGGAAAGAAACTCATCATCATTTTATGGAGATCAAATGATTTGTTTTGGATTTGTCAAAATTACCAGGGCAGTGAAAAATACGTTGTTTGCAATTTTCACCGAGTTCTCCTGGGAGTCAGTGAGATTGAGTGTGGCGTTAAAATTCAATGTGTATTTAAATCTTGAGTGAGAAGGGCCTGAGCAGGAAAATTAGATTTGTTAATTTGTCCTGCGAGATGGAAGACCAATACGGGCTGTGAACCACTTCTCACAACGGCATCACCGAGAGTAAAGTCTGTTGGAAATAATTCACTCTTTTGTGGTGACTTCTTTCCTCTATATGGACTTCCATGTAATGGTGTCTGCGTATCTTGTTTTGCTGTACAGTTCATGTCATGATCAGCCACTCGTCAAGCAGATTATATCTGTGTGTGTATATATGTAGACCCATATATATTGTATTTACATGTATGTAGGTAATCCTGACATCTCACAATTCTTGTTTCCAGTCTAGTAATTCCTTTAGAGTTAATGTGTGCACACACCTTCTTTGAGTGTCCTGTACTCATTTTCCATTTTGTCCTAACCTTAGCCATCCTTTTACCTTCCTCCTTCCCTCCACTCACGTCAGTCACTGTAAGATGAGTACATCACCTCTGGTATTATTTTGTTTGGTACAATCAGATCTAGTCCTTCCTTTACGCTTTGGGGTTTTTTGTCTCCAATCTCAGTTCCGTATTTTCCCTTCGCTGTCTCTTCCCCAATTTTTTTTTCTGACAGTCAGCTTCCTCAACACACCTGAGCTGCTGTAACTGCTTACACTGCTTTCCCCAAAAAGTGTGGAAAGGAATTGTTGGTTTTATGGTTAAGGTCATGTTCCTGCCCATTTAAACCAATGTGAGAGTGGTAGTAGAATAGCAGCAACATTTGTCTGCTTCTCTGCAGGAATCTCTCAGTTAACCAGAGTTTGTATGGGGCTTTGAAGATACAAATCACTTCATACGTGTTTAGTAGTCATTATTGTTATTATCATAATTAATTTCAAACGCCGGAGGTAGGATTTTAGAAGATACAGCATCCTCCACAATCCCATATCATTTTAAACCCCACATTGTGATTGTATTATTTTTTTTCCAGCATAGATAGCTGCCCATTAGTGACTGAGTAGGTTACTCACTCATTTGGAAAAGAGCCCACGAAAAGGGATAGGTTCCAAAGGGCATTAAGGATTGTAAGCATCTTTGTGAATCTGCAACTGGTTTCTAATAACCTCTAATTAATTCGCTGCCTCTTTTTTTTTTTTTTTGATACAGAAGGGCTTTGTTTTTCCAGGTACCCAAACCAGATATCTGAAAGTGATGCAACCTGTTTACCATTTAGAAATGCAGCCTTCAAAGGGGCCTCTGTGCTCTCCAAATGATTCTGTCCTTCTCTGGCCCTGAACAAGGAGAGTCAGGAAAGCTGAATACCTCTCTGTTTTTCCAGTTATAAGCCATACAAATACACAGTCCAAAGTGGAAAATCCTAGGTTGTGATTTTATATCCCTGTTTTTAGCAATGGCTTTCAGTGTTAAGAGAATTTCTGGGGTTGAAACATTACCTCAGGTCCCAATTCTGCAAATATTTAATGCTCAAATCCCTTCACTTTAGCACTGTGAATTCAGTGTACCTTACATTACAAACTGGCAGGATGTTTGTTTTGCCCCTTCTGTTACACATCTCAGAGTGTTGTAATACAGATGGCCTGCTATGCCTTTGTTTCATTATTTAATCTAGGAGTCTGCAGAAAGGTGTAAGAAGAATAAGTGGGCGAGAGAGTCATTGACCCTGGCGCTAATGGGGTGGATTCAGGCTGTGCTTGGAAGGGATCTGCTGTGACCTAAACAAGATTAACAAAGTATAAAAGGATCTTTTTCTCTAAATCAAATTGATTACCTTACTCAGGATCACATGGGTACTCCCCACAATGTAGAAAGTACAGCAGAAAGCCTTTATGTAATATTTTACTTATTAATTTAATTATGCACTTTAGCTCCTGCCATAGTAATAACAGTAATTAATAAAATGGAACATATATCCAGAGCTGCAGGTGTCTCTCATACAAATTATAAAACTGCATATAAAACAGAGCATGAATGTCACTGTGGTGTAGAAATAGCTAATTTTAGGGACTTTATCTGAGCTACAGAATTTCACACCGATTTTAGAGCACTGATAGAGCCGCTTGGTTGCTAGGAACGAGACACAGCACTTTGCAGATGAACTGTCTGTGTACTTCGTAATTGTTTCTCACTTCAGCATTAGGTAGTGTTTTCACACTATCCTTCACCAACTAATGTGTTTATGCATTGAGCACATAGAGGCTCTGGGAAGTGTGCTGGAAATAGTCCTAGAAATTGCCTCCGATGTGTCCTGAAAATGATGATGTGAACTGTAAGATAATGTCCTTATTTTTGACATTTTATCTAACAAGTAACATTCAGTTGCCTCGCCAAGATGCGTTCTAGCTAACTGCCTCCCCACGTCCTTGCCACTTATGTCTGTTTAAGGTATCACGTCTGGACGAAAGGGCATGCGCCGACGAACTTTGCCAAGTGGCGAACAGCCACCACCCCCTACCGCGTTGAGTGGGAAGCAGACTTCGAGCCATACGTTGTCGTGCGGAAGGACTGCCCGGAGTATGACAGGCGGTTTGTTGGATTTGGCTGGAACAAAGTAGCTCACATCATGGAACTGGATGCACAGGTGAGGAGACAACACCTGCATATCTAACCCAGGGCTGGGCAGCTGGGTCGTTAAATGAAGCCTGTGTTCTGTAGAACAGGCTTTGCATCACCAAAGTGCTCATTTGGGCTTGCTGAGCTCCTTAATGAATGCTTCTTGAGTAGGGAGCACTCATTTAGTCCTTGTCAAGCATTAAAGGAGAGTCTAAGTTAGTTTATTTGTCAGTGCTGAGAAAGTAAGTTGTCTCACAGCGGCACAATCCCCGCAGTGCCAGCCTTCTGTCCAACAGCGTGCCTGAGCGTTGCAGAACTTGCTGCCAGTCTCATCACCTACTAGGGGATTTATAGACCTAGATGGGAGTTTTCCAGTTAAACAGAGGTTGGTGAGTCCCAAATGCTAATTTAGAATTCAAAAAGTAATCTTAATTTGAATCCAAGGTGAGCATCTTCAATTTCTGGCCTGGATTTACAGCGCATCTCTGCAAAGCCAAGCACTTCACATTTCTAAAGCCTCTGGTTGTTGAGCAGACTCTAGAGGATTCAGGTACTTGTTCCTTAGTACTTGTTCCTTGGGCTACCTGCCTTTTGGATCTGTGACTTGAGATGGAGCCGCTGGGCAGAATATAAGAATAAGGATGCAGGGAAAATTCAAGAGTCCCAGACTGGCACTAGAGCTCTCAAAGCTGCCAAGATCCCCGCTACTGACCTAGACCTTAGAGGCTGGCAGTGACTATGTCGCCGTGGGAGCCCAGTGCTGCTGCTTACTGAAACGGCAGGGTTTGCATCTCCCTGCTGTTCTTGGATGTGAAGCTAACCGCTGTGCTAATCAGCAGGGTCTGGGTCATGGCATTTCTTTTTAGTTTGGGTTTGTTGGGGTTTGTTTTTTTTTAGCTTGATTTCAGTCCCTGTGTTTGAACTAGTGACATTTCATGCTAACAAAAAACCATGCTTTTTGGCCGTCTGCATCCTCCGATGCTAGCTTCTGCTACGGATCTGGAATATAGCTGGTCCTTCTCTGTCCGCCTCTTCACCAGTTTGTGAAGCAGAGTAGCACAAGGCATGCAGCAAGTTACTGGGAGATTGTGTCTCTGGGGTGTAGGCTACAGGGTATTTCTGTGCAGGCATGTATGTAGGAGGGATGTTTTCTACTTCTGCTTACAAAACCACACGGTGACCTTGGGCTGGCAGCCACTTGCCCTCTGTTAGCAAAAGGGCATTCCCAGCAAATTTGTACCTACTTACGTTGAGAAAAAACTATTACAGACTAGAAAAAAAATTGTCCCTTATATTATTGTTAATAATAATACTTTGCTCTGCTGTAGCACTTTAATTTTCCAGTGCACTTTCCAAACAGTAATCAATTAACCATCAGTTGTGGAGAGTGCCAGTGTAATGATTTGTTATTTGTTAATCTGGGTAACAAGGCTTATGTTCCCACTGGCAGCTCTCATCTAGCACTCACGATTTAACTCTTCAGAGATGTTTGCCCAGCATACAGATGCACCCATGGGAAATATGAACATTTCCCAAAGTTGATCATGATGCAGATATTTTAAATAGCCATTGGATTGGAACTAATTCTGGGGAATTATATTCCTCACTATTCCAGCCTTAAAAACATTCTCACATTGAAAAGAGGTTTCATTTTCATCTGTAGCAACATGGGTATTGGCCTGTTCTCCCACAAAATCAGCCTGGAGGGAATGTGGGATCACACAGCTACCTCCCCCTGTGGCATTCCTCTGCTTCGGGGTGTCCACAGATCAGGTTGCTGCCAGCTGCTTGGCTCTTTTCATTACCAGCAGGCAGAGCAGCTCCTCAATTGAATTATTTCACTGCTCCTCACAACTGCAGCATCTGTCAAGAGAACCCCTTCAGACTCTGTACCAAGAACCTGTGCTAGTACCATTCTTCAGAGCAGAACACCATGTGGAGATATTCGGCAGCATTATTATTCTGGGGACATGCAGATGTCCACTGAGCTGGATGCTGTACAAATTCACAGATAATGACAGTCTCTGTCTAAAGAATTTATAACCTGTGAGGTAGGGACAGAGGTTCCTGCAAGTGCACTGCTTTCTCAACAGACGTTTCCTTATAGTAGAGATGGGCCATTAGGAAACCTTTCTCTGCTCTACAGGTACTGTGGAACTAGACTGTGAGCAATTATTTTCCAGGACTCTAGCCCAGCATCTTTCAACAGCAGACTAGTTTTTGGAAGGCTTTATGTGCCCAAAAGCCTTTCAGAGGGATGGGAGCACCACTGTGCTGAACAGTTTACACCGCAGAGCACAGACAGTCCCTGACCTGCAGGATTACAGACCTGAGATGCAAACAGGAACAAAGAAAAGATTGTATGAGGGGGATGTATCTTCCTCTGCATCTTCAGCCTTTAGTTTTAACGTCCTATAGAGGCATATTTTGTAGTTTATCAGCACTCATCACTCCATCATGCCAGCCTTTGTTTTTGCATTTGTTTCCCCATTAGTTTTAAGTCTCTTCCAGCTAAATGAGTTCTGTCTGTGAGCATGAGATTATTTTTCTCTTGCTGCCTTTGTCACCCCCAACAGAAGCTCGGAGGGGCCCATTCCCACATATGACAGCACTGTAATTTGGAACAAAGATTTACCACTTTGGCACTGCCTGGCAGGGTGCAGGCATTCCCAAAATGAGAAGGGAGCAGCCATACAGCTGCGTCTGTACCTAGCTGTCCAACACATACTACTGTTCCACAGGTGTCTCTGGGACAGCACTGCAGCCTTCGCTATGCTTTGGGCTGAGCAATACCACTGCCTGTGTTAGGAAATGGATCCACATGGCTTTCTACTCAGTTCTTTTCTTTTGTTTGGGTTTCATTTTGGGCTGCATTGCTCAAACAGTTGGTTTCTAGTAGCATCATATCCCAGCAGTTTTCAGTCTTTTCCAGGCTGATCATACTTTCTTAGGTGAGGAAAGATTAATAGATGAAGTACATGTGTTTATTAGCACAAGTGTCTTCTCTCCCATAAATCTGTTTCCCTAACAAAGCAGTCTTGGAATACTCTGCCTCTGTGCTGCAGATACTGTGTGTCTCTGCTCAGACTCCTCAATCTGTAAGTGACTGGACTTTACAAACCAGGGGATGTTGTGCAACATTTCTTTTAAAGCCAGCATGCCCTGTGTCTATTCCTTCCCCACTCACTGTCTTCTGCAGAGATGCTTTGGAATACTCTGCCTCTGTGCTGCAGATACTGTGTGTCTCTGCTCAGACTCCTCAATCTGTAAGTGACTGGACTTTACAAACCAGGGGATGTTGTGCAACGTTTCTTTTAAAGCCAGCATGTGTCTATTCCTTCCCCGCTCACTGTCTTCTGTTGAGATGCTTAATGAGTCAATACAGCAACAGCTGTAAATGGAACCTGTATGAAGTTTGTCATTTGCATCACATACAGGTCATATTTTTTGAAATTTCATATGAAAAAGAAGAGATAGTGTCCTAGTAGTTAGGGTACTTTGCTTGCCTACAGAATACTGAGGTTCATACACCTTTCCTGCCCACTTCCTTGTAGGAGCAGATACTGGTTCTTGTACTTCGTACACTAGTGACCTTCCAGCTTGTCTGAGAATCTGTCTTTGTCTAGCTTTGCTCTAATGATCGTATATTTAATTATAAAAATGGAACAAAGCTGATAGGAATAATTGAGGCTTAAATGAACCATCATTTTTTAGCAACAAAAATTGTCAAAGAACTTGGTCAGATATAAATAAAGAGGATTAGTGAAGTAGTTTTAGAGAAGAGGTAGAATTAGCACAATATCTCATACTTTGTGAAGGAGAATTTAATTTGCGTAAAACCTTCTGGAAGCATATGGAATTAGCAGGTCCATTTTCACATGCCTATAAAAGATATCAGATTCTCCCCTCATTTTAGGTTTATAAATAGTTTTGGACAGTTTTGTCACTGTGAGTATCTTAGTATACAGGCAAAACAACATACGTAGTACAATGGATGCCTTTGTAAATACAGCTTGTTCCAGCATCCCAAGAAAGACAAATTGTAGGGGCAAAAGCATGCTTTTGCTTGCACGCTTGACTCATGCTGTGTACAGTCCCAGCTGTGTTGGTTGCAAGCACCCTGCTGCAAAAGCTGGGCTGCAGACATGGCTTTGGGCGTGCCTTTTGTACTGTTCCCCATCATTTGGCTTATATGGAGTAACATACTTTAAAAGGGAATGTCGATCTTTCATAAAACCAAGAAAAAGCAACTTTAAAAAAAGAAGGCTTATTTGGCATATCTGTGTGGGTTTGTTGTTTTTGAGACCCACACTTCACTGTCACGTGATGGAGCGTGTTTGACTGTAGAGGTGCAAGAGAGATGCATTGCCAGAGGGCTTGGGAACACCCTCACAGCCAGTGTCTTTCTCCCCCAGGAGTACGAGTTCACGGTGCTGCCCAACGCCTACATGATCCACATGCCGCATGCCCCCAGCTTCGACATCACCAAGTTTCGCTCCAACAAGCAATATCGCATCTGTCTCAAGACCCTGAAGGAGGAATTCCAGCAGGATATGTCACGCCACTACGGCTTTGCAGCCCTCAAATATCTCACGGCAGAGAACAACAGCTAGCACAGTGGAGCCCGTGTGCGGGAAACAGGGACACCGGAGAGAAGAGCCACTCGACGTTTGGGGCCCGGCCTTCAAACTGAGAAATACTTTCTGTTTTTATATCATACCCGGCAGTTCTAACAGTAGGAATTTGAAGTGACATGTCTTCGGACTATGCTCCTTCCCCCCTTCCCCGACTACCCCAGGCCTTTCGGCTTTAGCATTCGAGAGGTGTCAACAAGAGGGGGCCGGCCACGCGCCCACCGTGCTGCCAGAGGTGGGGCCTGGGCAGGGGGAATGCACTCTGCTCTCTTAACTGCAGAGCAAAGACAGACCTTCAGAATATAGGATTTCATGTTGCTATTTAATAATTTGACATGCTTTTTATCTGTAAAGGAAGATCTTCGGGTCGCTGTCCTGTGAATTTCAAATCTGCACTACTCTAAAAGGGAACTTTCACCTGTGAACTTCCACAGGGGCCCTGTGAACATGGATGACCTTGTTAATGCAGGATGAGCCAAAGGTCTGAATTAGCCTTGAAAACGAAGGGGACGCTTATACAATACTGCACTCCAGAGAAGGTGTGTTACTGGTTTAGGTGTATACATGATATCAGTTGGTCTTTTATTCTGAAATTAGTTGTTTTATCAGGAAAATCCCCTCTACCCCACCCTGCCTTTTCCCCAGTCCTAAACACTGCTCCTTTCCTTGCCAAGGAAGTGTCTCCCTTGTGTTTCTTTCCCATTTTCAGTTCTGGTGGTCCAGTAAAGAAGATCAGTAGCTCTGCCAGAAAGTAAACAAAATTTGTCAGTGTAAGGTCTGTTTTCACCAGACCAACTTGTTTGTGTGTGTCTTGTAAAATAAAGGGCCTGGCTGTAACTCTTTACCTGTTTTAGGCAAGAATTGGATTTTGCCTATAAGGCATGTTGTGTGGGGGGATATTGATTTGTAGGCTTGTTTCAGTGCATGCCCATCCGTGAAGGCACTGGCCCTGGGGCTTTACGTGGACTTCTTCGCTGAACAGGGAATACAAACATGGCAAGTAGTAGCCTTGGTGCTCTCCTGCTGCCTGCTTCAAGGTCTCAGAACTACTTCGTTAAAGGAGTTTGTAATTAAAAGGAGCAGAACTGTTAGGAATAAACTCCCCATTCAAGGGGGAGAAAAGAGTGTGTTGGGAATCTGAGTATGAGTGTTTGCTTGAACGTGGGCTGGTCAAGTTCACAAGTTCGGTACACACAGGAGTATACCGGAGGGCGGACAGGAAACCTAACAAGCAAAATGCAGAAAACAAGACACTGGACTTTTTACCATTTTCTTTATTCTTCGGTATTAATGTTGTGTTTACATGGGATGAAGAGATGAGGTTTAGTGCACTACCCCTTGCAGGGCTATTTGTAATTTCTGTTGCAATGTTAATAGAGAAAGCAGAAACAACTCAGTGAGAAATGCATCTGTCTCCCTACCCCAGATCACCATGCGACCACATGTACCAATACCACTGCCTGAGTTGGGAAACAGATCCGCACTGTGTTTTGCTCACTTTTTTTCCATTTTGTTTTTCAGCCATTGGACCTTCTACCTTCCTCCTCACCTCATCCCTCTAGAGCTTGGTTTTATTTCTAACCTGACATTTTGTGAGAGCTTTCTGTTTCGGTGGAAACCACACGGTTAAACCAGACATTTAAACTACAAATATCAGTTCTTCGTGCTGTGTATACATAAGAAAAGCCAAAAAAGGCAACATCTTTGACAAGAAATAAAAGGGGCGGGAGGCTATGTGTAATTTTCACTTTTTCCCCTGGGAGTGTTGGCTGTATAAGAATACATCACTGCATAATTTTCCAAAGTGCTTTTCTTCTGTTCTTAATGGCTTTATGTAAAGATTTACATAAAAAGCTGGGAAGAAGTGAAATGAGTGCTCAGTCCTGGCTAAGATATATTTTCTAAAAAACCCAGAATCTTAACTCCCCAGGTCCCGTGTATTACTCATCATTAAGGGCCAGGTCACTGTGCATTTTCTGAATGAGGAGAATCCTGCAGTATAGTCCTGTTGATTAGCTAATGTGCAGAGAGATATCCAAAGCTGATCCTAAGAGAGGCTAACACTGGTTGTACCTACATAAAATCTCCACTCAGAGCATCAGTGTGGCCACCATTATATTTCATATATATTGAAAATTTCCATTTCCAGATGCACATTTCTCCTTGGTTTAACAACGTTGCCCAAGGATGGACTGGATTGTCCTGCAGTAGCATAACCTGTAGCACAGGCCTGTACGTTGTTTGGGTGTGCCATTATCAACATGAACATTATTCTATCCTCAGTGGTCGCGAGATGTGGATGGTGGAGCAGGGAGGTACTTGCAGGTCTGTACAGCAAGCCATGGGACCTCCTGGGTAGGCTTTGGTGTGCTGGTTGGTGTAACCAGCTCAAAGATTGGTAGAGGTTCAAAGAGTCCCCTTTTTTTTCTCCTTATAGACACTGTACTGACTTGTATCTGACATGTCATGTTTGTCTATGTGCTTCATAATCTGGGAGGTGTGGGACTTGGGGTATTTTAACACATTTCAGCCAATTACATGATAGCAAATGAGGATTACATACCTGTCTATAACTGCCAGGGTTCCTCAAACACCATGAAAAAACCACCACCACCAAAAATCCCCAACTCAGTTGTAACACTGACTGTCTTCCAGTCCTCTGCTGTAGTAGATACGCGCTAGCAACTTCGTTACTTAATTCTCAGTTTTCTTCTGAAGTCTTCAAGAAATATCAGATAAACCTGGTGTCTTAATGACTTTGATTTATTGATTTGCTCCACCTACTTCTCTCTTGAGTCTCCAGTCTATGACCTCTCCTTATCTTTGATATTTTGAAAGTGTGAGTCTCTCATTCAGATATCACTCCAGCACCCTCTCTGGTGAAGACTGATGCAAATAAATCATTTAGATTCTTGGCAATGTCCCTATTGTCTTTAATTGTTTCTTCTACTTATTGTTTGGGGTGGCCAACTGGTTATCTCCGGTTTTCTGCTTTTGGTGTACTGAGCAAATGTGTATTTTCAGTTTTAACTTCCTACTATTTATTCTTCAAATTCCCTCTTAGCTTGCTCAAACTTCATCTTAACTATTACATACCTTCCTCTCAGCTTGACAAAGTTTGGATTTCCATTCTCTGAAGGTTTCCTGTTTGGTCTGAATAGCTTCTAAAATTTCCAATTTGGTCATACCAGCATTTCCTTGTCCTTGTCTTCCGTCTATTTAAAGGAATACCATAGTCCATGGCTATTTAGAAGCCCTTTCCATTTTTAATCTGAGGATTTGGTTTTTCTTTTCTTTTTGTTTAGGGCCACTGATTCTTTCAAAGGATAAAGGGGGCATTGGTTTTGAATTTTTATATCAAGTATTACCCCACTAGGTTTTGGGAGCTTGTATTTTCATCTTTAACCTTCCTAAATGCTAACCTTTTCCTAGTCAAGGGATCAGAAATAAAATCTACAAAATTATTTTGTTCTTCTAATTTGGGATCTTTTCTTGACACATTTTGTTCAGTGTCTGCCTTTTCTCCCTCTACTCCAAAACATTGATGGGTGTGAGTCACTGCAAACTTTTCAGTCCCCTAAGACCCTTCCAGCACCAGAGCCTGAACTGTGCATTTCCCAGGACCTCCTGACATCCCACCACACGTCAAACATAATTATTATTCCAAATAATAATCTGCTGGCTGGCACCCAGTCCTCCTGTTTTTGTTTTCATGCTTCTCCCTTTGATGTAACAGGCTTTGCAAGTTTAAGTTTTGGGCAAAGCACTTGCCTTCATTTAATACCTTATTGTAACCCTCTAATATGTTTCCAGGATTTCTCGCTGTTGTCACAGTATATACCTTCAAATGTTTGGCTGTAGTTTCCATCCTATCATTTTCTGGCTAAGGGTCATCTACCATTTGCTGCTTGGCAGACCTAGAAAATGCCTTTGTTTATCCTAAATAGTCCTTAGTATCTCTCAGATTTTTTTTTTCCAAAGCCTACTTACAGTGATTTCTTCTGCCCTTGCCAGTTTTCTGTGTGAGCAATCCAGTTCCACTTCATAATTTGCAATTTTTACTCTATTTGTAATCATCATCTTGGACTCGGCGACACAAAGGAATTAGCAGCTGTACCTGCAGTTCCATCACTTTTGTCAGACGGAATATCAGATGTGCTCACATTATTCCTAAAGTACTCAGTTTTATCTGGCAGGCTTCATGGGGTTTGTATGTACATCATAAACTGCGTTTTCCTTTTACTGTGACAAGTGGAAGCACTTTGTAGTGTTATTTGCAGTAGGGAAAAGCACAAAAAAATTGTTGGAATTGTAGCTACCGTTTCTTTCCGCAGGGGAAAATGAGGCCCTAACACAGCTGAACAGTTTTATAAATGCCCTGCTCAAAACACATTGCACATTATTTTCTGGTAGGTAAAATCGTACATTGTCCAATTAAATATGAAAAATACATTTTTAATGTCCTCATTTTTACATGCAATTCTATCCAGAAGATAATGCATTTCCTTCTGCATCGTGCCAGTTTCCCCCATTACTCCAGCCTGCCTAATAGCCCCATCTGTTTCTGGCTGAGAAAGATTAATGACCAGCAGCACTGGGAGTCCTGGCAAATCAGCGGCGATATTACTCTTAGGCATTGCACAGGACATTCCCTCCTGCTCTGCCAGATACTGTATGGGTGTTCCTCAGGTTTCAGCGGGGCAACGGGAAGGCACAGCAAGCTCAGCAAGTGGGGTCAGCATCATTATTTATGAACTTCAGCAAGGTCTAATAGGTTGGATGGTGGGAGTGCAAAAAAGAGAATGTATCATTGTTAGCTCAAAAAATACTTCAGTCTTAGGAAAAGAAAGCAGCTAAGTTTCTGCAACTCCTGTAAGTGAGACTGGAACATGTAAGTCACTGGTAAACAGTGACAGCCAATAACCTAGTCTTTCCACTGCAGTACTGAAAATGCAGAAGCACTGATAGCTAAATGAAGTAATTTTTACAGTAGTAATTCATAATGTATATTTAGACGGTATGTTTATATCCAGACAGGTGGATTGGGGATTGTTTCAAGATTGCTACTTTGGTTCACAATATAAAATTAAGTTTGGAAAAGCTTCTGGCTGTGCACAGCACATTGCAATTCAGGGAATGCTTGCTAACCTGGGTTTTGAAATACCTTGCTTTTATAGGAATTTGTTTTCATCAGTAGTTATACATTCCCAAAACAAGACACAAAATCCCTGAGAATTTCAAAAGGATCTATGTATGTGTCAGTTGGCTGGAACATTTTCCTCTTATGAATACTTGGGATTTGGAGTTTGTTTGCTCTGCAGAGTAAAATTATTATGACCAGTTGAAAAAATAATCT